AGTATTGGAGAATTGTTTATTCTTTATCTTTGTCAGCAACATTTTCACATATAAAATATATTTCTAAAATAAAGCTTAAATCTGTATACTATCTCAAAATGGACTGGTCCCTCTCCCAATTTCCAGAGTAAGGAATCCTTTATGCCATTGTATTTGGCAGGAATTATAGACGCACCTGAGTTTCATTAGCATAAACATGGTAATGAATCACAGTAATGTAGTTTCATTAATGTAAACTTAGAAAATGCAATAATTAGGTTTTCCTTTGAAAGACTGTTTTTAAAATAGGCATATTGTTCTCTACAGAAAAAAGGATTTTTTCCAACTGTTTTTACCATGCACTAAATAACAAGGTATGATGCATACTGTTATAACATCTAACCTACATCTTAACTGCATAGATTGTTCCTATAATACTATTTTATTTATAATTCAAATGTTTCTAGGGTAAGATTAACACCTGTTCTTTGTCTTTAATGCTACTGCGTTATTTGTCAAGAACGTGGAACAAAGCAGAGAATCTGAATCAGCCGCAGTACGTTTCACACAGAGCCAACCAAGTTCACAGTCATTTCATGCAAAGGCTACATGTTTTAAAACGTGCAACTTAAGGTCCTATTACAAAAAACAACTACGTCTGTGTGATGAGATGTACAAGAACAAGATCACCGCCTGTAAAACTTTTTGGCAGTCTCTCAATTTGAACCACAAATGACTGCATTGGAAATAAATTTTCAGTTTCTTCATACTTCGTCCAGAGGTAAAATACACTACAGCTTTAGATTCTGTGGAAAAACTGTCAAAGATTTTGGTTTTTTATTCAGCATGGGAGTAATCTTTACGTAATTTCTACAATACCTAGCACAACATCAGCTAGTTCACAGCTTGGGCTCTAAAACATTATAGCAATGCAAAAAATGAACACTAAATCATACATCATTGCAGAAAAATCCCTGTATCCAGCACCTCACACAGTGAGACATGAGCCAGATTCAAACTGGAAGCCACACAAACATATTGGTATAGCAGTGTATTCAGTCTAGCAAGTCCAAGATCTCAACAGGGATTATTAGTTTGAGCACAGCACTGCACTAACCTGCCTGTATAGTTTCCAGTCTGCCATGGGCTCACATCCCACTGGCTCAGATCCTGGAAAGCTTGAGTCTGCCTGCAGAAGACTGTGCGGGAACACTCATGGTTATTTACAGTAACATACAGAGCCATTCTGATACAGAAGCTCCACTTAAACGTTTGTCATTCCACTGCCACAAGTCGTCATATTAGCAAGTCAATCCAAATCCACCTGTAAACTACAGCTACTTTATTCTGCTTAGGCGTAGCAGACTAGCCAGTAATCCCTAGCAGGTCCATACCACTTTGTTACTGTAAATAGGCCATTAAAAATTAAAACATAAGAACTGAACTTTGCTCAACATCATTAAGATGCTCAACTAATTCTACATAGCTTCAGATCATTAAAGCAGAGAAACATAACAGGGATAGGTAATACCTTCTTTAGGTATTCCATGTCTCTGCCTCTCCAACAGAAAATGTATTCCATAGCAAAAAGTTACATAAAAACTAAAATTGTTTTTCTGGATTAGGATTGATAACATGAGGGAAAGAAAAGGCAGTCATAGATGCCTTTAGTTTCTTAAAACCAAGTTTTACAAATTGAAAGTTGGAGCTAATATACACATTAAAAGAAACCAAATTAGAGTTATGTATGGAATTAGATCGCTGCATTACACAAAGAACAGTCACTCTGTCTTGTGACAGTAAATAAGCAGAAAGAATGCATTAAATAAACTGTATAATAATAATAAAATAAATAAAATATAAATACCAGATTTTCAATCATAAACATTAAGTGCCTTAGACATGACTGTACTATTTCATGTTATTACTGAATGAAAAAAGACACATATAAGACCAAAACCAGATATGTGCATTTATTGATTCAACATTCTGAAATATTTGCAGTGGTACAGAGGATGACTGCACTTTCCATTAACGGCTTCATACACCCCTCCTAGAGATCCGGTGCTGACAATACACAAAAACTACAAGTATAACTTCTTAGGCTACGGTCACAAACCACAGCCAGTTTTTTAAACCAATAAATACGTGCGAACAATAGCTGGTTGAGGGGGGAAGATTTCACTCTAGTGGAAGGAACTGGGTAGATAAATCCTGGAGATCTGACGTTCTGTACAATAGAGGAAACTCTAGCATAAGCACTGTTTCCTTGGATGTTCTTGGCTGTGACGATCACTAGCCTTATGTCAACTCTAAATGTGACACATTAAGTATCTTTTAAATCACAGAGCTGTCAGAATGAGATTTTTAACTGCAGGCGTGAGTCAAATTAAGGTAGTTCTGTAGCAGTTAAATTGAACAAAGTGCCACTTCTGACCTATTGACTTAAAAGACGACCATGAGAATTGAAAACAGCGAGCAGCTAGCAGAGGGGCTCAGTGCTTGCTGGAAGCTGCAGGTAGCATTCATTCCTTCCCTCCCAGTGCACAGGGATTCTCCTCCAAGTCCACCTTTCAAGTCAGGCAGAAATTGCAGTAAACTTAAAAGCAACTCACCCTACCTAAAAAGCACAGCACCGTGTTCTAAAAAGAAATGTCTTCAGAGGGCTAATCTGGCATTCAAACATTAGGCATCATCCACTTTAAACAATATGTTTTATGTAAGCATAAAACAAAATCATAGCCTTTTTTCTACATTCCCACAATCTTGGATTACCTAGTATACTGGCACAAAATTGCAGCTTTCTTCATCACAGTCAGCCCCATGGGTCAACTCAATTCCTCTTGAAATATTATTAGCTATAGTTTCTGAAATTGTAACTGTAACTGTCTTCCACAGAAGTGTTTGTGAAGTTCCACACAATGAACCTAGGCTGTTTTATTTCACTTTGTCTGGTGTTATTTTTTCCTTCATTTACAAAGTTTTTCTTTTTAATTTGACAATGAAGTTAAAGAAACTATAAATAATTATTATAATTATAATACATGACACTCCCATCATAACTTTCACACATCAACCCCCTACAGTACAATATTTTCTAAAAAACTATACCGTTTTCTGGTGACTGCAACTAATCTTCAGAAACAGAGCCATAAGGCAGGAACGGACTTGCAAATTAGACTTCAGCCTGAGCCAGCTGTTTTTTCTAGTATTATTTTCTTTATGACCATCTGTCCCACCTGCTAGTATATTTTTTCCCTCACACAGACTCTCCACTACAATGATTTGCCATTCTGGATGACATACAAGTATCGATAGAAAGGAAACTAGATTAAATCTGACTTTGTGCCACCTAATATTTGGAGCTTTGGTAAGGCACCTGCTTGACTGCTGGTATAATTAAATCGGCCTTAAGTCTGCTTTAATATATGTCCAGTTCACCTACAACCCAAGCACTATCAGAGTCTGTTGCCACTCTGTCTGTCTTCCTTCTGGACTATATCAAGGAGCGGAAGGAAAGAGCACAACGTGGTTACACAAGAGTCTCCTCTCTGTAAAGCAATTTTTGTTTTTAAATACACCAGTATACTGAATGAATCTGCCGAGATCCGTCTTGCCTATTTATTAAAGGTGAATTCACAAAACAACTCTGCTCTCCACACTAGTGAATTCTTTGGGTTGCAAAACTGGTTGCATGCCTGCTTTTGTCAACATTTTCCAAATCAGACCTTCTGGCTGAAAAGTTGTCCTAAATCTTCCTCCTTGGGCAGAATTGCCAGAGACACACAATGCAAAGAAATGAGGAAGAGAACAACTGGGAAGGGCTGAGAATGAGGAAAAAGAAATTAAATGGCGTGTTGCTACATGGCAAAATTCTGTAGTCATGGACTTTCAATAGTTCTTTGCTGTTTTCAATGAGACTAGCATCAGAATAAATCTTATCGAGCAGTCCAACACATTTTCTGCAACATTTATTTTCCATATCTGGTTAATGCCTGGCAACTAAAAGGAAAATAACTACTTGTGCATAATTCAGAAGATTGCACAGCAGTGACGCTGCCCAAAAATAAGGAAGAACATGACAGTTACAAAGTGTACCATTATCATTTCTTCTCATGTTCTGCTGACAATAGTCAGCAATAACAGGAAGGGAACTGCTGAAAAAGCACAAGCGAGGTCACCTTTTTCTGGGTACTGTTTTTAAACATCTGTGTGGCATAAGGAATAAAGGCAAAACAAGTGCAAAAGAGAAGCAGGAAAAGAGGGAATGAGGACAGAAAGTAGAATTCAAAGGAGTACATGCTGACGGGCTTTACATTCCAACAGAAAATTAAAAGGTGACATCTGTGTCCACACAGTGCTTAAAATGAGCTCTTATTTACTAGCACTGCATTCAGGAAGGAGGCAGAGGAAAAGAGGGATATCTTAACTGAGCTTAGTTCTAAGCATAAGATTAAAGAAATAAAAGAAGGATTCAATTTCATGTCAGCTCCTGGCAGCTGCTCAGCATTCCTTATTATCATAGCCCTGTTTGCTTGTTCAGTGCTGATTACGTGCCAGAGCTGTGGTGTGGAGTCCTTCTGAGATGCTTAGCTCTGTAACTTCGAGACCAGATGGAAAAACCTACTTTTGAACACCATTTGTAATGCCAAAGTTTAACATATAATAGAATGTTACATAGACCTTGCTTGGAAAAAACCTTAATGGAGGAATCAATCTTTATTTCTACTAATTTTGAAGCAGATAAGAGTTAAAAATAAAATCACTTATTCCATTTTAATTTTTGCTTAATGACTACTAACCGTTTAGTTAGTGCCTGAAACTACAACAAATTAAAGTTCTTCTTGTAACATTCTTCATTTCTACATTAAAAACATTTTCAGCAAATGCAGCTTACAGAAATACAACGTTCAAGCGTGGCAGTAGCTATACACGCCTGCACATCACTACTATGTTGCACATTCTGCCTGGCACCATGTACTGAAACGTTTCAGACACTCCTCTGTTAACAAACAGCTTACCTTGAAAGATTCAGTCACATGCTTTGCTGTTTCTCCCAAACATCCTCCAGCCGTGCACTCATTCTGACAGCCCTAGAAGAAATTAAAACAGAGGAAAGCAAAGTCAGTGCACATTGCATAAAAGTAGATACACATTCAGTTAATTCTTTTAAGGACAGATTGTATTGAATAATCACTCAGACTTCATCATCAATAAATACATTAGAAAGAACTTTTTGATGGTTTCTCAGCACAACTTTCCACCTTTGTGGTATTTAGTTTTACTTCAGTTGCACTATTTTGCGGAACTGTATTTCAAGGTTTTATACGAGAGACATCATCTCAGATTAGATTATCGCTCTGCAGTGCGGAATGGTACAGACTACATCACAGTCTTTCATTCAAAGCTGAATAAATAAACTGTGCTTTTACACAGTTCCATCATATCCAAATTTCCCTACTAAAGCATCTACCTAACAGGCTTGCTTTTGCCTTTTCTCAAAGAAGCCTGACTAGGCAGAACAGAGAAAAAGAGAAAGAATTGGTTTTCTTAAAGCTTCATTAAATTAAGACAGCAGCGAGGAATGCCCACCTATATAAATATATAATCAGAGTATTTTGAATTACCTACTACGTTGAATGTAAGAGCTATGTTACTGACCATGCTAGAAAGGAATTGAAAGAAAAAGAGTGATGATAGTTCTAGGCAGTCTTCTGTTCAGCAACCAAAAGATAACAGACAGGTGCAAGCTGTCTATCTCAAAGCAAGATCCCCAGTTTCCACAGCCTCAGGCTACTTTGTGGACCCTCCCACACGAGCTAGATCTTCCTTGCCAGTGGCCAGTAAATGCACATTACACCCAACTGCATGGAGTGAATGAGGCAAACACAGCCCTGACACCATCTCTTGTTTCTGAGAAGCCTTTAAGAAAGAGGTGGAAAGGTGGAGTGGGGGCAGAGGTTTGGGAGAGGGAGGAAGGTGCGAGAAGCAAGACTGTCTGGGGGATGGGCTACCACAGGAATGTCTAGGGGGATGGCTTAAGGGAAGCATAACTGGCAAGATGGAGGGGGTGGCAGAAGCTAGCTCTTGAGATCTGGCCAGGGATGGGTGGGCATGGGGAAACAGTCAGGCTGGTCAGAGGGGCTGCCTAAGGGGGCAAGGGAAAGACAGAGGTTCTGAGGGATGCTGTTGCCAAGTTCTGACAGGCAAGGGGCTTCAACCCTCCAAGGGAAAAGCCCTAGCAGGAGACGGCACTGGCTGCTTGCACTTGGTAGCGGCTTTTCACCCCTCAGCCTTGCTGCATCTTGGGTGGGAAGTCCGAGCCCAGGTGGGAAACCCCCATGTCAAAGGTATATTCCCCCAAAGCAAAGAGGTGCACGGGAAACCCTTCATGGTCAGCCTGAGAGATCCCTGCCCCAAGCTCTTCACCAGGAGCAGCCCTCACCCCAGAATCATAGAAAGTTTTGGGTCGGAAGGGACCCCTAGAGGTCATCTAGTCCAACCCCCCCGCAGTGAGCAGGGACACCACTAACTAGATCAGGTTGCTCAGAGCCCTGTCCAACCTGGTCTTGAATGTTTCCAGGGATGGGGCCTCCACTACCTCTCTGGGCAACCCGTTTCAGAGTTTCACAACCCTCATTGTAAAGAATTTCTTCCTTATATCCAGCCTAAACCTACCCTGTTTTAGTTTAAAACCATTACCCCTCATCCTGTCACTGCTGTCTCTACTAAAAAGATTGTCTCCATCTTTCCTATAGGCTCCCTTTAAGTACTGAAAGGCTGCAATCAGGTCTCCCCGCAGCCTTCTCTTCTCCAGGCTGAACAAGCCCAACTCTCTCAGCCTGTCCTCACAGGAGAGGTGCTCCAGCCCTCGGATCATTTTTGTAGCCCTCCTTTGGACCCGCTCCAACAGTTCCATGTCCTTCTTGTGCTGAGGGCTCCAGAGCTGAACGCAGGACTCCAGGTGAGGTCTCCCCAGATCAGAGTAGAGGGGCAGAATCACCCCTCTCGACCTGCTGGCCACGCTTCTCTTGATGCAGCCCAGGACACGGTTGGCCCTCTGGCCTGCCAGCGCACATTGCCGGCTCATGTCCAGCCTTTCGTCTATCAGTACCCCCAAGTCC